GGTATTTTATTAATTTATAGAGTTATTAATCAGTTTTAGATTTTTGTTTTAAGATATATATATATATATACTTTTTAAAATAATAAAAATATTTGATTTTAGTGTATATATATTGATTAACATTTTTGAAACTCGACATTTATATTTGTTTTATTATATTATTTGGTATATCTAAAACATGTAATCTTGAATTTAAATGTTTTTTTAGATATAATTTTATGAAATCCCATCAAAATATATTAGCTGTTAAGAAATATAAACATAATTCCATTATAAAGATTAAATAAAGAATGGTTGATTGTACTTATATAAAATATATATACATATAAAATATCAATTTATAAAAAATATTAATTTATAATTTTAATATGATTATATATTTACATTTGATTTTTATAAAATTATTATCTTATTATTTTATCGATCTATGTTATATTTTGAACCAATCCAACTTGAAACAAGAGAAATTTATTAATTTATAGTGTTTATTAATTTATCAAGTATTAGTTTATAAAGTTTTCACTGTAGTACAATATTATCCACTTAATTGAAACAGTAAAGTCTGTGGATCTAGTTTTGAACTTCTTATCAAAACATTTCATGCTAAGTAGAGTTGAACATTATTTTATATATCATCCATCTACTTTATTAAAACAAAATTACCAATATAAAATATCCCTAAAACTTGTAAATTATTTACAATTCAATGCCATTGAGAATTTAATTTATTTAACATAAAAATATTTGTCTTTTCCATATAACTAATGTTTTCCTAAAATAATTCAAAGTAGCTACAATGTAGGAAACAAATAATTAAATTACTGTGCTTATCTTTTTAGGTAGATAAATAATTAAATAAACTCATTGATTTCAAATTATATTGACTGTAGCCTTCTAAATTAAATTATGTTAACATAATCATTTAAAAATATTCATGACTATTAGAAAAATTATATTACATTAATATTTGTATTATAATATTTTGGCAGCATTTACATTATAATTTATATAAATATATAATGGTGTATAACCATTTAACTACATCACGAAAAATAAAAAGAAATATTTGGGCGTTCACACGGATCTAGCTCTAGTTATTAATTTAAAATTCTAACTAGAGCTTTAACCCGCTTGAGTATTTATTTTCACTTTTTAAGAAATTTTTTTGTTTGGTATAAAATATATAATATAAATTTATAGTCTACACATGTAAATTTATTGTTTATAATTTTTGAGAAAAAATGATATGTGGATGTATCTTTGCAGAAAAAATCATTTATGTATAGTATATATATGCACTAAAGTGTTTAATTGCATTCACATAATTCATATAAATTTTATTGTATTTACAAAACCCATTAAGAAAATGATGTAGGTCCTAACTCTGTTGGATAATGAAAGTAGTTGTTGAGCCAAAAAAAAAAAACCATTAAGAAAATGATAGAAGTCAACATTGGCGAGGGAAGAAGAATTATGTGGTCAAGGTCTGATCACCAAAAAAAACAAATGATGATAGATAGTGTTTAGTGTATTGTGTATAGTACTATAATTTATGTATAATATTGATGTGCATTAAAGTTTACAGTATTATGTGCAATACATAAGTTAAATAATGATATTGAAATCAGTGTTCAATTTATTTAGAAAATTGTGAGTTAGAAATTTAAATTAAACTTCTAATGTATTAAATTTAGGAAATGATGTAATTAGGAATATATATTACTTCAATGGCATACACTTGTAAATATGATGCAAAATTTAGGGTGTGCACTTCAGTTTTAATAGATTAGATGTAAAACTTTCGTTGCATTCACTACAACAATAAATAATTTTCTTCTCTTACACTTTCTTATAATATAAGGAGAACGTTTGTCGACAAAATTTTCACCCCTCTTTTTTTTTGTGCACCTCATTTTCACCCCTTCAAATGAAAAAGAAGAGATCAAAAAACGAGATTTCGACCAAAAAAAGCAAGAACTTTGCACGAATTGCCAAATAATACATGTACATATAGGTTGGCCATAAAAACACTGTACTTTTGTTGACTTTTTTAGTTTATTAAGAAACTTATGTTTGACTGACCATATTAGCACGCCGTTAGCAGAGTTAACAGATAATTTAGACGCTATTAAGTCGACGTTTATTTTCACCGTTAATTATATACGACGTCGTTTCGTCTGTTTTATGATTAAAGACAAAGGAATGAAGCTACGTCGTTTTACGAAGCTTTGTTATTTTAAAAATTTGTTCTTCCACGGGATCGAACTCGTGCACTCGTGAGCATGGTAATGGTTTCGCCACTGAGCTAGTGGGATTTTCAATGTATATGCGAAGAGAGTTGTTTTTAAGATAAAAACTCCGAGTTTAATGAATTATAAAGAACGATGTCGTTTCTCCCATCTCTTGTATAAACCTAAAATCCCCAAATCGACGAACCCTAAATTCCCTAAAGTCGATTCTCTTCAATTTCGTCCTCAAATCATTAAGTTCGTGCCTTTCCTGCTTCGAGTATTGCAAGATGGCTTCGAATTGTGATGATTCGTGTGTGAATACGATGGGTATTCGTGGTATTCCGGAGAAATGCGAATGTGGAAGAAGCACATGGGTATACACATCAAAAACGAGGCAAAATCCAAGAAGAACGTTCTTTAGATGCCCAACATTTCGAAATGTAAGTGTTTTAATTTGATTATGGCTGGAAGCGATTGGTTGAAGAAAGTGTTTGAACATATAGCTTAAATGGCTAGGTATTGAACATAAAGCTCAAATTGTCTGAAATGGATGTGTTGTATTTGTGTCCAGGATCACTTGTACAAATGGGTAGATGAAGCTGTCTATGAAGAGGTTCAGGATGCATTGCCAAGTGCTTTGCATCGGATCTTATGAAAATGAAAATGAAAATGGAGATCGAAGGCACCAAAACTGTTAATGAAGGATTGAAAGAAGATGTGATGAAGGCAAGAAACGAACTTAAGAAGCTGAATGTGATAATGAAAGTGGGATTTGTGATGGTTCTCATTAGCATTGTGATATGTGTTGTGTTGATTATGCTTGAGAAAGGCAATAGGTTGTCTTTGAATAGCTACTAGGAGACTATGTTTATGTAAGTTTAAGAGTGTGTGAGCCTCTGTTTTTATAATTTTAAGACTTTGTTTCAGTGATGTAAGTTTAAGACTCTGATTTTGTAATTCAAAAGATTTGGATTATTGAAGTATGTACTTGCTTGGAGTCACGGTTTATATAAGTTCTTGTTTATGTAATTGGAGTCATGGTTTATGCAAGTTCTTGTTTGATAAGGACAAATGAAAACACAAGTAAACACCAAAATAAAAGTTCCACAATAGACTAAACATAACAAACCAAAAGAGACAAAGTCTTGTACCATCATTCGACATACAACAAAAGCCAAATAGTTTCTTGTTCCAAAAGCAAACACAAAGCAAAAGAGACAAAGTCATAGTTTCTTGTTCCAAAAGAAAAACACAAAGTCTTGTACCATCATCGACATACAACAAAACACAAAGCATTGACCTTAGAACCATCTTCCCCAAGCGCCAGTCTGTGTCTCTTGAGCTTGTGAGGATTGACCTTGTGAAGATTGAGGAGCTTCCCATGCTGATGTTTGAGCTTGTGAGGAGTGAGGAAACGAGGCTTGTTGGGAGCCTTGTGACTCTTCAAAATGCAGACCATGTATCATATAAATGCAGTCCCTGTGTCAATAACTTCAAAAAACTAAAACACAATGCGAATAGCTAAAAAACTAAGACCCTTACCTGATTTTTCCTCGGTCTGCCTCTTGGTTTCTTTGGTGGACTCTGAACAGAAGCATTCTTACAAGTATTCTTGTAGTGGGCTTCTTCTTTGCAGTTAGAGCAAGTCATAACTCTGTTCACACGGCTCATCTTCGTTGTGGAGACTGTCTCATTGGTTCCCTTCCTTCTATCATGGTTTTTAGGCCTACCAGGATTGCCATTTCGGTTAGGAGGTGGAATCACACCTAATCTATTTGTCTGAGGCAACTATATGATGCCATTCAGTGGTCTGATCCCAAAATTGTAGGTTTCACGCCATCTTGTGGTTGTGTAGCAAGGAGCAACAAACTCTGAAAGCTTCCTGCCCACACCAAGAATAACCTTAGCCGCATGGATGCATGGAACAGGGGAACCACCATACGAAATTCCTCGCCTTGTCTTCGACACCACTGTTTTTGCCAACATCGATTCTCCTTCGACTCTTTTTGTCTTTTTTGCTTTCTCCGCCGATCTCTTTGGTGAGGACACACTCCCACCACCACCTTTTCTACCCTTCTTCGACTGTTGAACCACTTCTTTCGACTGTTGAACCACTTCTTCTTCGAATTCGTTATTGAAATGCCTCAAAGATCTCCTTACCTCCCTCCCATTGTTGGTGAATTTCGTCTTTGCCATCTTCTTCAAGATGAGAATCGATTTGAAAAATCCCCAAATCGATTTGGGATTCTGAGAAATTAGGGTTGAGTTTTTTTATTTCAATCATACATTTTCTACTCAATAAAACCAAATATGTATGGTAAACTCTCGAAAAGTTCAATAGTTCAGTGGCAAAATACCCCCTAAGGACCCCGAGTGCACGGTTCGATTCCAACCGACAACAATTTTAATTAAACAAAACGACGTCGTCTTGAAATTTTGTCTTGATCAAAACAAATTGACGAAACGACGTCGTATTACTTAATGGCGATAGTTAACGTCGACGTAACACCGTCTTAACTGAGATTTCACGGTGTGCTATTTTGGTCAGTCAATCCTAAGTTAGTTTTTTTTTTTTGGTGAGAACAATCCTAAGTTAGTTAATAAACTAAAAAAATTAACAAAAGTAGAGAGTTTTTTTTGCCAGGGTCGAGTACATGTATTATTTGGCAATTCGTGCAAAGTTCGTGCCTTTTTTGGCCGAATTCTCATCGAAAAATCAATAAGTTTCAACGACATACTTTTCCTCTTTTAACTTTTAATACTAAAAACTCATCAAAGAAGTTCTCATTCCATCATTTACCACACAACATGAACACAACAAATGATCTTAACAGAAACCAAGACCTCAAATTGATTAAATCATTTTAAAAAAAAAAAAACTGACAAGAATCTGAAGATCTTAAGTTCTTGTTTTGTACTTGTTCTTGTTCTTGTTTTTGTTATTTTTCGTGACACTGCATTCGACAGGCAAACCCTGCCAGAACCGTTTCTTATCCTTACAATAATTGTAAACCATGAACTTCTTCTGAACCCATTTGAGAATTTTCCGGCTCGAAGAGTCCATCCGTGTCTGTGAAAACCACTCGTTAGTACTGCTGGAAGAAGAAGAAGAAGAGGACGATCCACCGGGACTACAAGGGGTACTAGTTGTGGTTCCATTATCAATAGACCAGACACAAGAATTGTCGGAGTTGTAGTTCATGAACGAGGCTACGAATGGTCCTTGCGACCAGTTCGTCTTGACCAAGCCTCCCCTAGTGGCCCAATCATCTGCGTTCCATAAACTACCATACATTCTCATGGGTTGGCTCTTTGGGTAAGCCACACCCATTGCTTCTAGATTCTTGAATTCTCTAATTGGTTTCCCATCAACGTAGAACCTATGTAGAATTTAAACATGTTAACACAAGAAAGTATTCAGTGACATTTTTATAAAAAGAAAAAGAAAATTAGTGAGAAATAATATGTTGGGGTTAGTTTTTGCACCCCTCTTTAATTTAACTATTTTATATGGTTCGATAAATATAAATTTAAAAGATCTTAAAATTTAATAAAACTAGCTAAAATAATAACTAGAATTATCTACTTACACTATGTGACTCGGATTCCAAAGAATAGAATAGTTGTGGAACTCAGCAGTGGGATCGAACCAAAGGTAGAATTGTTGCTCTCTATCACCTTTGCCTTGAGTGTAAACATTAGTGTGAAGTATGTATGGATCTCCACTAAGATTTCCCAAAAACTCGAAATCTATCTCGTCCCATGTTAATCCTTGAGACTTCAACTGCACACCAAAAATCCCAACATATATTATTTATACGTAACATATATTAATAGATTTATATTTATGTCTAGCTAGTTAAGAAGAACTTACGTAGAAGGTTGTCACGGTCCCGGCAGAATTTCCCGGGACAAGTTTGATCTGCATGTCGACTTTTCCGTACAAATACTCGGCTTTCGATTGAAACCCTGACCCTGAAAATTGATCAAGAGAGAGGTTCAGAAGAGTACCATTGTTCAGAAAGTTTCCTCGACCATCACCCCATGTTATGTCAATGTCTTGGTTGAGATAGTTAGCGTGTGCCACAAGAAATATGTTTAAACCAAGAAAAGGAATTAGTGACATAACCAAAAGTGTCTGAGAAACCATTTTGGTTTTCCACTTTAAGAAAGTATTCTTCTTGAAGGTTGTAGGTGGTGGAAGTGTGTAGATTTGAGTTTGAGACACAGACACTCAGACGAGTACTGATTGGTGTATATTTATATAGTGGGGTTTTGATTCCTTATTATCTTTTCAGTCCTTAAAATTACTTTTATGTTCTTAAAGGAAAAGGTGAGATTAGTGTGGCTAATGTGAGAAGCGACCAGTCTGGAGAGCATAAACCAAAGCTGTAGTGCTATACAACTTATAAACATTTAAGTCAATTAACTATTGCTAATGTATTACATCCTAATCTTAGCAAGCCCAATTTAAAAATTTTAACTTTGAATAGTATATATATGGTGGAACTTGAAAAACTAAAGTCAACTTTTTGGACGGTACCATGTCATCATAAACTATTTACAATTGGTATTTTTATGTAGATGCGACTGACTTTAGCTCTTGAGTGCGTTAGACAGACTAACTGGATCCACCAAATATGATTTGTAAATTTGTAAAGAATCAAACTGACCGTGTGGGAGCTAAGAATATAAATTACCTAGACGATTAACTCTTCTTAAAAAGTTAGATTATAATTACTCTCAACTCTTTTGTTTATCTACCAAAAAGTCATATTGTCCCCTTTAGTCTCATAGAGGCTTTACTAACAATAAATGACCATAAAATTTCTCTAGTTTAGTTAGATAATGAGTGGTAAAAATCGGATTTTCTCTAACATCTTATTTAAGTAAAACCTGAATGCAAACCACTGTTGTCCATATTCTCATTTGATTAAATATTGTTATGTTTATAACAGGATCAAAACCATAAAATGTATAGAGCTTGAAACAAATATAATTTCAAAACTGAATGATCTATTCTACACATATATTTTGGATGATTTAAAAGCCAATTGATTCATACATATTAAGCATCTAACATCTTCCGTCCTTAGAACCGGCCCTGAGTTATACAAAAGATTTTAAGTTTCATGGTATCATTTTGGTATGTAAAATAAAGTTTTCAAACAAAGTACTGCTAGAAAAATATCAACTAATTAAACAAAAGAAAACAAAACCAAATAGAAGCAGAGTCGAACACACACACACATCAATCAAAAGCCCCTCAAGAAAATGGAAAGGAAGGCTGGAGAAGGTAGATGTCAAGAGTCATTCGTATTTAAATTTCTGATATGCTCCAATAGTTCACGCCTTGTAATACTTCGTACTGATAGTCCAAACTTACTAGCCTCATCTCGAGATAGTCTAACATTTGATGGAGGTTCTGTGATGATCTTCACGTTCTTGCAACTCCCCTCAACCATTTTTAAAGCCTTTTGACTTATTTCAATAGAGTGGCTGATATCGAGCTCCCTAAGCTTATGACAGTTGGAAGCGAACTTTGCCATCGATACATCTGTAACGTTTAAGCAGCTCTTAATCCATACAACCTCCAAATTAGGGCAGCTAGCAGCTATCTTTGTTACCGATGCATCTGTGACACTTAAGCAGCTTGTAATACATAAAACCTCCAAACTAGGGCATCTGTCAATGAAAATCATGCAACATGTAAGTTCAAAAATCAAGTTAAATTATCTAAAATAAAAAATGATTGTTAGTTACAAGAGTAAGAAGCCATGATCACATATCTTGATAAAAGTAATGTACTGAAAACTATACGAATGAAATGACAGCATTCTTAACCTCATATATGCTATGTTACTAGTATCGTATATAATATATATATATATGTAAAATTCTGATAGTTGAAAAGTGTATGAAATTCGGAATTTGGCATCATAAAACATATCCAAAGATCAAAACCAAAACGAACACATACACCAAATATTCAAATGTAATATGACACAACCAAGAATATGTGATAATATATACTAAAACATCATCGAAATTGCCAATTCCAAGTCCATCACATTTTTTAGTTATCAGAATTATGTGAATTGTGCTACCAACATAACGTATATTATAATAGATGTTGTCACCGAATCTACAACTCATTATGTTCTGTCTAGATTTGTGATCATATAGTGGTGCATTGTTCGATAATCATTTTTTCCTTTATAGATAGTGATAATATTTACTTTTAACTATTTTTATGAAAGATTAATGCTAATAGTTATAGCAGGTATACCTCTCAGCAGCGTACAACAAAGATTGATCCGAACAGTGCCTAACACGGATCTCCTTGAGACCACCTTGGCTTCGATCCACAACACACCGGAGAAAAGAGTCAACCTTCTGCTCAAACTCGTAACTAAACCAAAGATTCGAAATCCGAGATCCCTCGAACCAAGTATCTAGATCAAAGACCGAGTTGAGAGACTGGTCGTCGCAAGCGTACATCCAAGGCTTGCATACGAGCATAGGTCCTCTCCAACGTTCTTCCAGGCTTATCCGCGAAACTATGTCGATGAGACATTCCTTATTCAACTCAGACCAATCACGACTTAGACCAGATCCGATCTCTTCTTTCTTTCCTTCGTTCTTGTCGTTCATTTCGATATTAGATTCGTTCATCATGTGTTTAACTTTGTCTTCACGTTCTCTTTAAGACGGAATAAAGTTGCATATACTCAATCCACTAACTAATACCTTTTGATTGATCTATACTTTTTCTTTTGATTAATCTATACTTGATTTGATTAGGTTTGTTTTTGTTTTTCCTTTAACGACACATCTTTATGTTCCTGTCATCATCTTGTTTCCACAGTCAACTTTTAATTAAGTTTAAGCGGTCTTTCTTATTACAATCTAAAAGCAAAAATAAATCGGCCTAGAATTTGATAAATTCTATTAGAGTACTTTTATAGTTGATTAGTTAGAACCGGTAAACCGGATAGTTTATGATGTATCTATACTATTTTTTTTTATCAACGATTATATTACATAAAAGGTCTAAGCGATTACATCTGGAGCTATGCTCAACGGTAAAAAGATAATAACCGGAGGTATCCTCAACGGTTTGATGTACATAATGCAGAAACAGAACAACATAAAAAGATATAACAAGTGAACGAGAGATACTTGCTCGACAAAAGAAGAACCATAGGATATCATCAGATGAATCCCTGAATAGGTTACTACCACGAGCACTGAATAGTCGGAATCGACGTTGAGTTGACCAAACAACAAAGTTTGGCATGAGGCGGAACGAGCAAGACAAGCTCTAGCTTCGATGAGAAGGTTTCTCGAAGAGACTAGGTGAATCTCACCAGAAGTAGCGGTTACAAGAAGCCTGGATTTGGCGCTGACGAGCAAAAAAGATGAACCATGGAACCGAATAGTGCTAGTTACAAGAACAAAGCAACTACACATTTGACTGACCTGTGATGGCTGAACAAAAAGAATCTTTAACTTAAGCATAACATCACTCCTCTGGGATAGGTGAACCCTGGTTGTACCGGTTGAAACATCTGATAAAAAAGACATCTTCATCTTCACAGAGACTCTGAAACTATTGAACTTTTGTGGCGGGGCAGACATTGAATTCAGTACTACACTTCGGACCTCGACATTACCGTATCGGGACCAGTAAGGTATTAGCAAAATCCATCTGACCAAGCAATCCACAAATCCAATCGAACTGAAAGCGCTTGAGTCATTGTTGGGTGACAGGAAGAGAGCATCGGGTGGTGGCCGTATAAATACTCCAGAGAACACTGACGGAATAAACCCACCACGTTCGGTGGGACTCGTCGATGTAAACCAGAGCCCATGAAGGTTTCGTTGTTGCTGAGGACCCGGCTTGGATCTGAAAGAGTGTCTTCTTGAGAACGTTGAGGGAGTCAACGCAGTGGAGATAGCAAGATTTCTGAGAAGAATTGTGACAAGGAGACCGTGGAGTGGTGGGGGAGTAACGGAGACGAAGCCACGAGCAGATCTGGCCAGCGAAGCCACATGAATATTAGATCTGAAGCTTATGCTCGCCCTAAGAAGAGCGGTTGATACAGTGACGGTGACTTCGAGAGGAGCGAAAGTGATGGCAAATACGGGCAGGGTGGGAAGTGCGGCGGTGGAGTTGAGAGCAGTGGAGGAGGCGAGAACGAGATGGACGGAGGATGCGGTAACAACGAGATGGATGGTGGAGGCGGTGACGATGAGATGGATGGGACGGCGAATTTCAAAACGAGACGATGACATGAACCAAGACGAGACGACTAGGAAGTAGGTGGTGAGTGGGAGAGAGACAAGACGGCGACGCCGGCGAGCTTGAGGGCCGCTGGCGTCGAGATGTGCAGGCGGAGGCAGCTCCTCGAGATTCGTGTCAGAGAGAACTTCCTCCTCGAGATGTATCTATACTATTAAAATATGTTACACATCGGACTTTTTAATTCTAATTACCCCAGTGAATAGCTTTGCTGTCACTTTCATGAAAGACAATCAGATCTTTTTGCACCGTTCTTGTTTGGTACAACGTGATTTTCACTTAAACCATTTTAATGATTTGATATTAAACCGCGTTTTCCTAATTTTCATTGGTCTGCGATTATTTCCATGTTTGATACTGCAATTGTTTCAAAACACTAAATAATCTAATATATATTTCTCTATTTACTTGCTATTTGTTTCCTTTTATCAATACTAGGAAACCACCCCGCGCGTAAACGCGCGGGAGAAAAGATGTTTTTTTTAAAGTAATTTTTATATAATTTATATTTGTTAGTCAATCATTTTGAATCATTTAATAAACTAATTATTTTGTACGAAAATCAATACTTAAAAAATAATCTTATATAGTAGAAGAGTGAAAGTATAATTTGTGTTTGAAAATGTATAAATTTAAATGTTATGTGTTTAGCATAACAATATTAAGTAAACTTTAATATTAAAGTCGCAGACATTTTCTTTTATCTTTTTATATATGAGAAGACAAACTTTTAAAATTTGTTAAAATGATGGAACAGTTTAAACCTTTTAATTAAATAATATAATATGTTTTAAAAAACTGTAATTAACATGCAAAGAACGACATTTTTAAATCTATGACGCTCAGTACCTCCATACAAACTGTGTTAGAAAAACTTAAAAAAAATGGACTTTATCAGAAGAAGAATAAGAGATTACAAAAAAAAACAGGTTGTTTTCTTACAACCAGATTGGTTTGGATATGGTAGTTTAGTTTCGCTGAAACTAAACCTATTACATTATTTTTGCAGACACCACATTAAATTTTTAAAGATCGTTTAAAACTATATAATGAATCAAACATTATATTCAAGAGTACTAAGAATCATACCTATATTAGAAAAAAAAACACATAAATTTTCTTAAAAAATTGCATCTGTAAAACATTCTATTTATAGTAATCTGAAAAGATACATTGATAGATTATCAAGAGTTGTGTTTTGTTTTAAAATGAATATTTTCAAGAGTTGCGAGGAAAAAAAAGTTCAACCAAATACATTTTCAAAACCATTAGATAGAACCATAATAATTACAACCACGAGACTGAAACTCTTCAAAAAAAATTTAAAAAGTCAAGAATTAGGGAAAAGTATGACTCTTCAAATTAAAGAGATGTGTTGTTTGAAAAACAAATAACTGCTCATAGAAATTTTAATTTAAGTATAAAAAAATTATTAAGACCAATAGAAGAAAAAAAAAATTATAACCAAAGATTGTAATCCTTCAAATATGAAAAAGTATGACTCTTTCATGTAAAAAGATGTGTTGTCTGAAAAAAAATATGTTAATGCCATAAATATCGTATGTCTAAAAAACATTTCTTAGGACAATTGTATGAAAAACAAAAAAATGGTTGAAAAATTGTATCTTTTCATACTAAACTGAAATATATTAGTTTAAAAGTTGCATCTTTCATTATAAAAATAATTGTGTATTTTCAAAAAAAAAAAGTTGTTGAAAGGTTGTATCTTTTCATACGAACCGAATTATATTAGTTAAAAAATTGCATCTTTTTATTATAAATAGAATTGTCTAGTTTCATAAAAAGTTATCTATTATTCTAAAAGTTTCATCTTTTCATTATTAAAAAAAGTTTATGTTTCAGATAAAATAGTTTAAAAGTATTTAAAAGAGGGTATAAGAATTGTGTCTTCTCAAAATAACAATTGTTGAAAGGTTGTATATTTTCATAAAAAAATACTTAAATATATTAGTTTAAACATTACATCTTTTCATTATAAAAATAATTATGTATTTTAAAAAAATCTATTATTTTTAAAGTTGCATAAAAATTTTATTTGGACCATTAGATGAAAAACAAAACAATTGTTGAAAGGTTGTATCTTTTCATAAGAACTGAAACATATTAGTTTCAAAGTTGCATCTTTTCATTATAAAACCAATTGTGTCTCACAAAAAAATAATTTAAAAATATTTAAAATAGTTATAAGAGTTGCGTCTTCTCATAATAAAAANGGTTGAAAATACAAAATAAAATGAAAAGTTGTGTCTATTTAAAGAACTGAAATATATTAGTTTTAAAGGTTGTGTATCTTTTCATAAGAACTGAAATATATTAGTTTAAAAGTTGCATCTTTTTATTATAAATAGAATTGTGTCTTTTTATAAAATAATTTCTATTATTTGAAAAATTCTATCTTTTCATTATAAAAAAGTTTGTGTCTCATAAAAAATAGTTTAAAAGTATTTAAAAGAAGTTGTAAGAATTGTCTCTTCTCATAATAACAATTTTTGAAAGGTTATATCTCTTCATTAAAAATGAAATATATTAGTTTAAAAGTTGCATCTTTTCATTATAAAAACAATTGTGTCTCAGAAAAAATAATTTAAAACTATTTAAAATAGTTATAAGAGTTGTGTCTTCTCATAATAAAAATCTACTAATTATAAAAATCTTGATTAATTTAAAAGTCTGTGAATGCCAAATAAAAAAAATTGAGACTCTTAATAAAAATTTATATTAGTGTGGAAGGTTGAAAATACAAAATTAAATGAAAAGTTGTGTCTCTTTAAAGAAATAACTGAAAGATTGTGTCTCTTAATAAATAAAATGAGAGGTTGTCTCTTAATAAAAATCACAACTAATTCTAAAGATTGTGAATGTCAAATAAAATAAAAATTGTGTACCTTAATAAAAACTCCCAATTAATTCTAAAAGTTGTGAATGTCAATCAAGATGAAAGTGAATGTCAATCAAGATGAAAGGTTGTGACTCTTAATAAAAATATCAATTAATGTGAAATGTTGTAAATGTAAAATAAAATGAAAGTTGTTTCTCTTAATAAATAAAATGAAACGTTGTGCCTCTTAATAAAATAAAATGAAAAGTTGTGTCTCTTAATAAATAAAATGAAAGGTTGTGTGTCTTAATAAAAATACCAATTAATTCTAAAGTTTTGTATCTTAATAAAAATGCCAATTAATGTGAAATATTGTAAAGGCAAAATAAAATGGAAAGTTGTGCCTCTTTAAAAAAATAAAATGAAAAGTGGTGTTTCTTAATAAATAAAATGAAAGGCTGTGTATCTTAACAAAAATCTCAATTAATTCTAAAGATTGTGATGCCAAATAAAATAAAAAGTTGTGTATCTTAATAAAAATCTCAATTAATGTGA